CCTACTACTCAGCAAACATGCCCCAGAAGTCATCTGAGCTCCAAGTTTTCCCACCCCGTCCCTGCCCCCGACCTGTTCGATCTGTTCGGTTGATGTTTTACCTGGGAAGTGGTCCTAGGCTCACAGCTTCAGCGATGCTTTGGGGCTGGTCACAGGGGTTAGTTTCCTGTCCCCCCTACCCCCCATCTATTCGCTGCCCCGGAAGCTCTCACCCTCTGCCTTCCACTTGGGTTCAGCTAAAGAATTGCTGAGTGCCGTGACACACGCCTGTAATGCCCACACTCTGGAGGCTGAGGCAAGAGGATGGAGAGTTTGAGCCTGGGCTGCAGAGTGAGACACTGTCTCGAAGAATGCAGTTTCTCAGTTACACTAGGTACATTTCAAGTGCTCGGTAGTCAGTGTGGTGAGTAGCTCTCATATGAACTTCACGGACACAGAGAAGACCTTCGTCACAGAGTCACCGCTACCAGTTCACATTGGACAACATGGTTCAAGAACCTTCTGAGGCTAGGCCTTTTACAATGACTTTTAAAAATTTTTATTTTTATTTACTTATTTTTTGTGTGTGTGTGCTGGGTAGTGGTGGCTCACTTGTTTAATCCCAGCACTCATGAGGCAGAGGCAGTTCGAGGCCACCCGGGTCTACAGAGAGAGTTCCAGGACAGCTAGGGTTACACAGAGAAACCTTGTCTTGAAAAACAAACAAAAATTAAAAAATATATATTTTTAAGGGATATAGGTGGAAGCTTGGCTTGTCTGGCAGCTGCAGAGAGAGAAAGGATCCAAGGAAGGCCCAGGATCATCCTAAGGAGGCAGGCCAGACAGATGAAGGCCTTAGCCTGAGGCCCTTGGGATGCTCCTCGGGAAGCAGTGGAAGCTCCGGAGGGACTTTTGCCAGATCACATGGCCACTGCAGGAGAACACAGTGACTCAGAAAGCAGCATCGTGGGGTTCCACTTAGGATCGGTTTCCTGAGCAGAGTCAGTTTCTCTTGCCAGGGAAAGGTTGGAGAGATGGGCGTGGTGAACGGCCACCCTCAGGCCTCTGGGTAAGGGGGTGCCACTGCGCCCTCCCCCTAGTGGCTGAGGCTGGAATTTCCTTTAAGGATTGGATTACTTTACAGAACAATATTTAAATGAAGTAAACCATCAGGGAGACAAACACTCTTTAATCCCAGCACTTGGGAGGCCGAGGCAGGAGGATCTCTGTGAGTTCCAGGACAGCCTGGTCTACAAAGAGAGTTCCAGGACAGCCAGGACTACATAGACCCTGGATCAAACAAACAAACAAAGGCAGACTGAACATCCACTCTCCACCAGTCACCTTCCTACATATCACCCCTACAATCCTCACATCAGCCGAATGAAGGCGACAACACTGCCGTGTAGCTGGGGAAAAGCAGCCGCTGCACTACGGAGAACGGGAGGACTTGGGAATTGTGTCCTCCAGCAGCTTGTGGGGAAGAGTGGTGGTCTGAAAGAGAAGGGTACCCACAGACTCATATTTTAATAATTGGTCCCCAGCTGGTAGAACTGTTGGAGAGGATTAGGAGGCGTGTCCATGTTGAAGGAGGTGTGTCACTGGGGGTGGGCTCTGAGGTTTCAAAAGACTCACTGTATTCTGGGTCTGTCTTTCTCGATCCCTCCCTCTCTTTCCCCTCCCTCTCTCTCCCCCTGTCTCCCTCTCTCCTTGCCTCCCTCTCTCCCTGCCTCCCTCTCCCTCTGCCTCTCTCCCTCCCTCCCTCCCTCCCTCCCTCCCTCCCTCCCTCCCTCCCTCCCTCCCTCCTTGCCTCCTGGTTGTGTCTCAAGCAGTGAGCTCTCACCTGCTGCTCCAGAGCCATGCCTGCCTGTTTGCTGCTGTGCTCCCTGCCATTATGGCCCTGAACTCTAACCCTCTGAAACCGTGAGCCCCAAATGAAGGACTTGCTTTTATAAGTTGCCTTGGTCACTGAGTTCTATAACAGCAATAGTAAAGTAACTAAGACAGAGTGTTTTGTCTCTATGTATGTACATGTTCCATACATAGGTGCCCAAGGTCAGAAGAAGGCACTGGCACACCCATAACCGGAGTTATCAGCAGCTGTGAACAGCTATGTGGTGCTGGGAACAAACCCCAGGTCCTCTGCAAGAGCAGCACGTGCTGAGTCATTGAGCCATCTCTCCAGCACCACCACTGTTTATTTTTATTTTTTATATCTCGCGCTGTTTTCACAGAGATCCGCCTGCCTCTGCCTATATATACCGCCCGGCTATTTTTATTTTTTATATTATTTATATATATATATATATGTATATTGTGTATCTGTGTGAGTGAATGTCACATGTGTGCAGGTACCTGAGGAGGCCAGCAGAGGGCGAGGGATCCCCTGAAGCTGGAGTCACAGGAAGTTGCGAGCCTCCTGACAGGGGTGCTGGGAATCAAATTCAGGTCCTCTTATTTTATTTTGAATTGTGTATAATATGTATCTTTGTGGGTATGTGCAGTGCCATGGAGGCCAGAGGTATTGGCTTCACCTGGAGCTAGAGCTACAGGCAGATGTGTGCCCCAACCCCCACCCCCCACCCCCGCCTGCCCTAATCAAACTCAGGTCCTCTGCAAGAGCAGCACATGTTCTTAACCACTGAGCCACCTCTCCAGCCTGATTACAAGCGCTGCATTGCACCTTATGACTAACTGTTGCCTAGGAACCTCGACTGCATGGTTGTTAAAATGCGTCATGGAAGGTAAGACAGAGCTCTGTGTGTAGAAGTGCAGGCCAGACACCTGAGCTTGATCCTAGAACCCATGTGGAGAGAGAACTGATGCCTCAAAGTTGTCCTCTGACTCCACGAATGTGCAGGGGCACAGCCTGCATACCCCTGTGTGTGCGCACGCATGCACGCACATGTACACACACATACACACACACACACACACACACACACACACACACACACACACACACACACCCCAAATGAATAACAAACAAAACTAGGACTGGGGATGTAGCTCAGTGGTAGAGAACTCATCTAGTATATGGGGGGCCTATGAACTGAAAGAAAGTATAAAAATACGGGTTTGTTTTATTGTTATTATTTAATTATTTATTTTTATTTTATATGTCTAGGTGTTTTCCCTGCGTGTGTATCTGTGTGAAGGTGTCAGAACTCTGGGAGCTGGAGTTACAGATGGTTGTGAGCTGCCATGTGGGTGCTGGGAATTGAACCTGGGTCCCCTGGAAGAACAGTCAGTGCTCTTAACCGCTGGGCCATCTCTCCAGCCCACATTTTATTATTGGTAAAGTTTAGTTTTGTTTTTAGGCTTGTTACTCTTTGACAGTTCAGTGCATGTATATAGTGTATTTGCACCATTTTTACCCCAGTTAACCCCCCTGAATGCCAGCTGCTTTCCCCAGGTCCCTTCTGTTTACATGCCTTCAGTTTACTTGTTTTGTTGCCCACTGAGTTTAATTAAAGTGACTTGCAGGGGCATGGGGGAGGGGTGTTTTATCTCCCAGTGACTATATCGCCAAAGAAAATGACCCCCACTACTGTGGGTGTTTGGTTTTCTGAGAAAAGGCCTTCAATAGCCCAGGCTGGCCTCAAACTCACACGTAGCCAAGGATGACCCACCTGCCTCCACCTCCTAAATTCTGGGATTATGAGGCATGTGCCATCATACCTAGCTAAAAACCCATTTTTCAGATGTTGGGTGTAGCGGGGGCATCCTTCCCCTGTATGGCTGGCGTTTTATTCACTTCCACAGATGCTTGTTTCCAAGCCCCACCTGAGCTCCTTTCATGCCTTGCGTGTGCTGCTCCCTTTCAGGAAGCTCATCACGGTCTGTCATAGGCTCGTAGGTGGGGCAATGCACCGTAATGATTACATATGTGGGAGCTGGAAGATCCCTTTGCTCTTTTGGGATGTTTCTGAGAAAGGGTCTTGAGCTTATTATGTAACTGACGGTGACCTTCAGCTCCTGAATCTCTTACAAAACCTCTTCTCTTTCTGCATCTTCCAGTTCACTTCCTGCCAGCTGCAGAAGCAGTCAGCTGCCATTACAGCACGCATCAACTTCCAAGCCTGGTGGTGCACACTCATAGACTTGGTCCTTGGGGGGCCTAAGGCAAGAGGATGCAGTATCTGGGGCCATCCTGGGTTACATAGTAAGTTTCAGGCCAACCTGAGCTTTAAAACAAGATTCTGTCTCAAGAAAACACACACACACACACACACACACACACACACACACACACACACACACACACAATCATACATTTACTGAGTGTCTTAATCACTGTTTTGTTATCGTGAAGAGACACTATGACCAGCATAACCCTTGTAAAAGAAAGCATTTAACTGGGGGCTTGATTACAGTTTCAGGGGGTTTCTCCATTATCGTCATGGCAGGGAGCATGACAGCAGGCAGGCATGCGGTGCTGGAGAAGTGGCTGAGAGCTACATCCTGATCTGCAGGTAGAGGCCTGGTATTGGCTTTTGAGACCTCAAAGCCCACCCTCAGTGGCACACCTTCTCCAACAAGGCCACACCTCCTTCTCTCTCCTAAACCTCTGCCAGCTGGGAAGCAAACATTCTAACATATGAGCCTATGGGGCCATTCTCATTCAATCACAGGACACTGAGCATCTCTGTGCCAGGTAAGCCTTGGCTAAATTGGAGAGGAGAATGATGCCCCATCTTACTTTATAACAGCTGTGTGAAATTCATGTCATCTTTGTGATGTGGCCCTGACCTCCAACTGTGGAACTGCTGCCCCTGCCTTCCAAGTGCCAGCTGTGTGGTGCCCACTTGGCACCACGGCCTGTGGGTGTGGGAGGCTGTAGATTCATCTTCCTAATCTCGAAGTGTTTTCTACCTCCTTTGTGATTTTTCTCTTTGACTTTTAAGTTCTTGAGTCGTGTTGCTTAATTTCCACATATTTCTGAATTCCTTAAATCTCTTTGGTTATTTTCAGGTTTTGGTTCTTGTGATGGAAACATTCTTTTTTTTTTTTTTTTTAAATATTTATTTATTTATTATGTATACAGCATATATGACTGTAAGCCAGAAGAGGGCACCAGATTTCATTACAGGTGGTTGTGAGCCACCATATGGTTGCTGGGAATTGAACTCAGGACCTCTGGAAAAGCAGTCAGTGCTCTTAACCTCTGAGCCATCTCTCCAGCCCGGAAACATTCTTTGTATGACTCCAGTCCTTCAAAAACTTGTGGAGAGCAGCTCTGTGGCCCAGCATACAGTCTGTCCTGGAGAGCATCTCTGTGGTATTGTGCACACCTGCTGTCACTGTGTAGGCGTCCTGCTGGTGACTTTTAGGTTTGTTTTGTGCACACTGTTCAAGTCTTTTGTTCACTGGTAGCATTGAAGTCTCTCACTGTTGCTGTTGAATCAGCTCTTTTCTCTCTCAATTCTGTCACATCAAGCTCACAGATGTTGCTGCCCTATGTTTAGCTACAGTGATTGGATCCTTACACATTGCTGAGAGACTGACATTTTGGGTTGCTGTATCCCAGACTGGAACTAGCAGTGACCCTTCGGCTTCAGCTTCCCGTGTACTTGGAATACAGGTATGAACAGGTGTGCTCAGTATTTAAAGGGTCGGGGTAGGGTGGGGTGGGGAACACCCTATAAAGTTTATAGGTTCCAATTTCTCTCTTAGCTTAGTTTAGCCAGGTTTAGTGTTTTCTGTCACCTCCTCCTCCTCCTCCTCTTCCTCCTCCTCTTCCTCCTCCTCCTCCTCCTCTTCCTCCTCCTCCTCCTCTTCCTCCTCCTCTTCCTCCTCTTCCTCCTCCTTCTCCTCTTCTCCTCCTCCTCCTCCTCCTCCTCCTCTTCTCTTCCTCCTCCTCCTCTTTCTCCTCTTCCTCCTCCTCCTCCCTCTCCCCTAACCCTCTCCTCCCTCCTCCCTCTCCCTCTCCTCCTTCTTGTTTTGTTTTGAGACAAGGTCTCACTAAGTAGCTTTGGCTGGCCTGGAGCTCACTATGTAGACTAGAGTCTCACAGAGATCCACATGCCTCCACCTCCTGGGTGCTGGGATTGGAGATGTGCAATACCAAGCCTGACTTTTTTTCTCTTTTCAAGACGAGGTCTCAGTTTATAGCTCAGACTGCAATCCTCCTGCCTCAGCTTCAACTGTTGGATTGCAGGTCAGTATCATCATGCCAAGTTTTCTGCAGTCTTTTTTTTTTTCATTTTTTGGTTTTTCGAGACACGGCTTCTCTTGTGTTGCCCTGGCTGTCCTGGAACTCACTCTATAGACCAGGCTGTTTTTGAACTCAGAGATCTGCCTGTGTCTGCCTCTGGGGTGCTGGGATTAAAGGTGTGCACCACCACCGCTTGACTGTGGTCTTTTTTTTTTTTCCTTATCAGTGACTTTTTGAAAAATAATTTATTTATTTTTATTTTATGAGTAGTGATTGGTGTTTTTGCCTGTACGCATGTCTGTACAAGGGTATCAGATTCCCTGGAATTGGAGTTACAGACAGTTGTGAGCTGCTATGTGGGTGCTGGGAATTGAACCCAGGTCCTTTGGAAGAGCAGCCACTGCTTTCAACTGCTGAGCCATCTCTCCAGCCCCTTGTACTTTAATTGAAAGCTCCATCCTGTGCTCTTCATTGGTGCTAACATTGCTTAAAATGCTCCCAGGTGTAGTGATGAGGCACTGTCTGGCATGCCTCAGCTCACAGAGGCTTAGATGTGTGTTATGGAGGAAAATCCATGAGTTTTCTAAGTTGCACTCAGACATGAATTGTGTCATTGTTAATTATGAGTTCAATGTTAATGAATCAATACTGTATATTATAGCTAGAGTTTTCCTGCCTGGCCCACAGTCAGGACAAATCTCTGTCACCCACCAGTCCCACAGCCACTCAGACCCAACCAAGTAAACACAGAGGCTTATATTGCTTACAAACTATATGGCCATGGCAGGCTTCTTGCTAACTGTTCTTATATCTTAAACTAATCCATTTCTATAAATCTATACCTTGCCATGTGGCTCGTGGCTTACCAGCCTCTTCACATGCTGCTTGTCATGGCGGCGGCTGGCAGTGTCTCCACCCTCCTTCCTGTTCTCTCAATTCTTCTCTCTGTTAGTCCCGCCTATACTTCCTGCCTGGCCACTGGCCAATCAGTGTTTTATTTATTGACCAATCAGAGCACATACAGACCATCTCACAGCAGTATATTTTCCTTAATAGTGTATATGTTCCCTAAGACCAATATTCAGCTTTATATTAAAAAAAAAATTTTGTAGCTGGGCAGTGGTGGCACACACCTTTAATCTCAGCACTCAGGAAGCAGAGGCAGGTGGATCTTTGTGATGCCAGCCTGGTCTATAGAGGTAGTTCCAGAACAGCTAGGGCTGTTACACAGAGAAACATTGTCTCGAAGAAAAACAACAACAACAACAAAAATATTTGTTTGTATTTTTAATGTGTGAGTGTGTGCATGCGTGCACACATGCCACCAAGTGTGCGTGGAAGTCAGAGGAAAACTTTCAAGAAGTGATTCTTCCCATCTCATGGGCTCAGGGGAGCAACAAATTCAGATCATCAGCTTACATATCCTGAATCACAGTCCACTGAGAGAAGCCCAGGCAGGGCTCAGACCAGGAGGGACCTGGAGGCAGGAGCTGATGCAGAGACCATGGAGGAGTGCTGCTTACTGGCTGCTCATGGTTTGCTCAGACTTTCTTATAGAACCCAGGACCACCAGCCCAGGGGTGGCTCCACCCGCAATGGAGCCCTCCCACATCAGTCACTACTAAGCAAATGTCCTACAGTAGGCTTGCCTATACCCGACCTTATGGCGGCTTTCTCAGCTGAGGTCCCTCCTCTCAGATGGCTCTAGCTTGTGGTAAACTAGGCAGAGCCATGACTAAGACGGAGTTAGTTCCCTTCTTCCGCCATGTAGGTCGCAGGGATCAAACTCGAGTTATCAGGCTTGGCGACACATGCTTCTGCTCCCTGAACCGTCTTGCTGGCCTAGGGTTTTTTGGTGGTGGTTGTTGAGATAAGGGTTTGCTGTGTAGCTCAGGCTGGTCTTGGGTTTGCAATCCTACTAGATTAGGATTAGAACCATTTAAAAAGCCTCAGAGCAGCTGGGTGTGTGTCCCAAGCCTCTAATCTCAGCATTTAGGAAGCCAGCTAGGGCTACATAATGAGAACTTGTCAAAAACCAAACCAAACCAAACAAACAAACAAAAAAAACCCCACAAAGGTCTTTACCAACATTCACGATTCAGCTATTTGTTCAAATGTTTTGTTTATTTATACATTTTATAAGAATGAGTATCTTGCCTATATGTATGACTAGGCACTACATGCATGCCTGGTGCCCCAGGAGGCCAGAAGAGGGCATCAAATCTTCTGGAACTGGTATTACAGATGGTTCTGAGCCACCATGTAAGTGCTGGGAATCGAACATGGTTCCCCTGGAAGAGCAGCCAGTGCTTTTAACTGCTGAGCCATCTCTCCAGCACCTCAGCTATCCTTCTTAAATAAGTATTCCTCAAGTTGTTGCCAGTCTTTGGCTGGCCTTCAGTTTGCAAAGTTGATTTTGAGTTTGTTTTTTTTCATTATTTTTATTAAGGAATGAATTCCCATAGGTCTTTACATTGATATTTTTGCTGACTCTATAAAGCTTAGTTTACAATCCATTTTTTTTTTTTTTTTTGAGACATGGCCTCACTATGTAACTCTGGCTAGCCTTGAATTCATTATGTAGATCAGGCTGGCCTCAGACTCAGATTCTTATGCCTCCGCCAAGGCACGGGTGACCATGCCCTGCCAGATTATTGCTCTTGCTTCTGTTTTTCTAGTCCTGGAAATTTAAACCTCATGCAAGCTAGGCAATGCTCAGTTACTTAGCTGCAACTTTTGACTTTGATTTTGTTTGCTTATTTATTTGTTTTTTTCCAGGCAAATAGCTCAGGCTAGTCTTAACTCGCCATGTCACTGGGGATGACTTTGAACTCCTGATCTTTGCTGTTTTGTTTTGAGACTGGGCCTTGATAAGTCACCCAGCATACTCTTGAATCGTCCTGAGTCCAAGCTGGCCTTGAAGCTGTGTTCCCTTGCCTTGGCCTCCTGAGCAGCTGGAAGTTCAGGCCTTTGGCAGCAGGCCCAGCTGATGTGGTAGGTTTTGAAGTCGAGTCTCCCTACCTAGTCCAGGCTGGCTCTGAAGGTGCAGCTCCTCTGCCCATGCCTCTCAGGAGCTAGGATTCCAGGCGTGCACCACCACACTTGTCTAAGTTCAAACTGTTGGGGAGCCACCAAATGGCTATGCCCGTGCTCATGTTTCTGAATGTCACCTGCGTTTCCCAGAAGACTTTATTTCTTCCTGAGATCAAGACAGAAAGCAAAGGGAGACCTTGGAGTTCTCCTGTCAGTCCTGGAGAACCGCTGTGGCAATGCAGGAGAAAGGGAAGTGAAGTCAATCAGCTCATGCAACTTCCTACTGTTCCTGCCGTGCACTGCTAAGAGATCACCAGAGACACTGCACTGCTAACAGATCACTAGAGACACTGCACCACTAACGAATTACCGGGGACACTGCACCACTGCACCGCTAATGGATCACCGGGGACACTGCACTGCTAACATCACCAGAGACACTGCACCGCTAACGGATCACTGGGGACACTGCACTGCTAACGGATCACCAGGGACACTGCACTGTTGACAGATCACCAGGGACCCTGCACTGCTAACAGATCACTGGGGACACTGCACTGCTGACAGATCACCAGGGACCCTGCACTGCTGACAGATCACCAGGGACACTACACTGCTAACAGATCACCGTGGACACTGCACTGCTGACAGATCACCAGGGACACTGCACTGCTAACAGATCACCAGGGACACTGCACTGCTAATAGATGATCACCGGGGACACTGCACTGCTAACAGATCACCGGGGACACTGTGCTGCTAACAGATGATCACCAGGCACACAGAAACCAAAAGCTCTTGGCTGAAGCAGTTAGGATAGTTTATGCGCACACGGCAGAACAGCAGTTGTCATCCTCATTATTTTTGTTTTTTTCAAATCTCTCCAAGTTTGTCTACAATGGTTGCAAGTCTGCACACAGCTTCTGTCGGGATCTAGAGGGAGACCCCGGTCCAAGTCTGTGGTCTAGAACGTTTTGATGGGGTTAGTGCCCTCACCCCCTCCTTTAAGGACTCCATTTCCTCTGACTCCAACTCCTCTTTTGTTAGTTGGTTTGCTGCTGCTGCTTCTCTTTCTTCTGGGGAGCAATCAGCCTTGCTTGTGCTGGCAGTCGCTTTGACCCCGGCCCCTAACTGCTATCTTAAGTCATTTTAATCCCGACTATCTTCTTCTGGTTGAAAAGACAAACAAGACGAAAGTTGCGAAGTCCTGCTTCCTCTTGGTCATCTGTTGATATTACACCATCCACCCCAAGTACTGGGTCAGTCTCTTCCTTCTTCCAAATATAGCTGTGGCCTTTTTGCTGCTGGTAACCTGTTTTGTAATCTCAGCTCAATGCACTTGCAGCCAACCTAATAGTGTCCATACGAGTTATAGCAGCCTTCTGGCTTTTCTTTAAACAAAACAAAACAAAACTTTTTCACACTTGTGTGTGTGTGTGTGTGTGTGTGTGTGTGTGTGTGTGTGTGTGTGTGTTATGCACATGTGGAGGTCAGACAACTTGTAGAGCCCCGCTTCTGCCCCACAGAGTCCAGATATTGAACTCAGGTCATCAAGCCTGTCCTCGAGTGCCTTCACCTGGTGGGCCACCTCTCTGGCCTCCTCCTCTTCCTTTTAAGGCAAGGTCTGGCTACACAGCCCAGGCTGGTCTTGAACTTGTGATCCTCCTGCTGCTTCTTCAACAGTGCTGGGATTGTAGGTGGGTGCCATTATGCCCGCCTCTTTTTGATCAGAGGATTTCCTGTCTGCTCCTTTAATCCCTTTAAGTCTTCTTCCTGTGGCATCTCTATCAATGACCAAAGGAAAGAGAGAAAGATGTTTTGTTTTTCTCATTGGATAGTCTTGAAATTTATGTACATATACATTTCCTGTACATTAAATTTATATAACTATATATCTCTATATATTCAGTATTGGAACAGGGTAGGTGGCTAGTGCCTGCATTGCATTTGCATGATTAGCTCAGTGACCTTCGATTGATTTAGTATCCCAGTCGTCACAGACATTCTCTGCTTTACTCTAAGTACATTAATGCACAGCTACACACTTTCTCCACAGTATTGAGTTCAGTTATCTGTTCCTGGGCAAAACCCCACCAGAAAGCCGGTGTGCTGGTGCATGCCTGAGTTCTGGCACTGGGGAGGCTGAGGCAAGAAGGGTGCAAGTTTGTGTATAGGCTGGGCTACCCAGCACTCGGGAGGCAGAGCCAGGTGGATCTCTGTGAGTTCGAGGCCAGCCTGGACTACCAAGTTAGTTCCAGGAAAGGCGCAAAGCTACACAGAGAAACCCTGTCTCGAAAAACCAAAAAAAAAAAAAAAAAAGTAGAAACAAACCAAACAAAACCCCCACATTTCATGGCATAAATCAATACGTGGTGGGGTTTTGTTGGTTTGTTTTTTATGCTCCTTGGTTCTGTGAGTGTAGTTTAGAAAGTGCAGAGACAAAACTGCATTCTGCTCCCCTCTCAGCCTCATCTGGAACCACTGAAGCCCAGAGCAAGAGTGGGAACGCCACAGCTGGGGTGGGAACCCGCTTCCAAGCCGGCTTCCTCACTCCCAGCCTGTGCTCTGGGCGGCTGAAGGGTGCCACTGTCGGCCACAGAGCCCGGGAGGGTCCTGCCTGATAGCTGTGCCGGCTGCTGCACAGTGGCTACGGTGACTGTTTCTTTTCCCTGTTCTCTTCCTCCACTTCCTCCTCCACTTCCTCCTCTTTCTGATACAGTGTCTGGCTGTATGTCCCAAACTGGACTAGAACTCACTACACAGCCCAGGCCAGCCTCACACTTACGCTCCTCCTGCTTTCTCCTGAGGGGTGGGGAGTCAGGCCTGTGCACCAGGCCCAGCTTAGCTGTGTTTCTTCTGTGAGCATTCCAGACTCCAGCAACGAGTCTGCAGTGAGCAAGGTGAAGACTGCTTGCTCTCTTCTAGTCCAGCCTTGAAAGCCCCATCACACCCTTTCCACCACGTGCTGTCGAGGGACAGTCATAACCAGCTCAGATTCAAGGGATGCCCTTAGACCTCTTGATGGGGAGGGGAGCCAAAAAAAAATTACAGACCAGAATTTTCCAGCCCACCCACCAAATTGAAAGCTGGATAAAATAGCTGTTGCTTTAAGTCATAAAAATCATGACCATATTTTGATCGCCACAGCTTTACAAACCATTTGTCATGAAGATGAAGGAGGGGTCCTCGAAAGGCCTCCAAGTTACTTGTCAGGTGTTTTTCTTCCTGACCATCTGCTGCTTTTGATGATAAGACTGTGCGGCCCAGGCCGGCCTCACACCTGATGTCCTCCTCACTCAGACTCCCAAGGGCTACAACTATATGCACGTGCCCTGCCAAGCATCTTTTCTTTTGTTCTTTTGAGACAGGGTCTCTCTACACAGCTATCCTGGAACTCACTGTATAGACCAGGCTGGCCTTGAACTCACAGAGATCCCCCTGCCTCTGCTTCCCGAGTGCTGGAAGTAAAGGTGTGTACATCTGCTTTAAAATTTCTTTTTATAAAGAAACAGAGAGAGCTGGGTGGTGGTAGCGCACTCCTTTAATAAATACAGTATTTGCCTACTATGTGCAAGGCCCTACACTGTAATTGTTTATTTTTGTATTTCATGGGTACAGTTGTTTGGCCTGTATGTATATGTGTGTACTATGTGCATGGCTAGTCTGTGGAGGCCTGAAAATGGCATGTGGTCCCCTGGAACTGGAGTTACAAATGGTTGTGAGCCACCATGTGGGTGCTCGGAACCAAACCTGGGTCCTCTGAGAGGCCAGCCAGTGCTTTGAACTGCTGAGCCGTCTCTCCAGCCCTGATATTTCTCCTTCTCTTTCCTTTTTTTGGACAAGGTCTCACTATGCAGCCTCAAACTCACAATGATTCTCCTGCCTCAGGCTCCCACCTGCTATCACTACAGTTGGGAGCCCCCACACTCAGCTGACATTCCATGGCTCTCAAAAGCTTGTCTCTCTTTCTTCTTTGTTTTCAAGACAGGGTTTCTCTGTGTAGCCCTGGCTGCCCTGGAACTCACTCTGTAGACCAGGCTGGCCTTGAAGTCAGAGACCCCCCTGCCTCTACTTCTCGAGTGCTGGGATTAAAGGTGTGTGCCACCACTGCCTGGCTTATTTTTATTTGTGAGTTTTGTGAAGGTAAAAATGTACATGTTAGAAATCTGTGTGGTTTAGATGAAAAACTGGGGCTCCCCAGACAGCTATTTCCTGTTCTCTAGAAGAGGCTGGTTCAGCCCCTTCAGCTTATCCTTCTGTCATTAGTCCTGTGGCCTCCTGCTGCACTGTTGTTGTTCAGTTTGGGGAATTATCTGATCTGTGTGTGCGTGCATGTGTGTGTGTGTGTGTGTGTGTGTGTGTGTGTGTGTGTGTGTGTGTGTGTGTAGTGGTTCCACCTAGGCCCTCGTGTGCATTCATCTTCATGTGAAAGTTCAGTGTGTGACTCTTTGCTCCTCTAACATATACACCTATTCAGTACACACTCACACTGTGTCTGCTTTTCCCCAGGGCTCCTCTAACATATACACCTATTCAGTACACACTCACACTGTGTCTGCTTTTCCCCAGGGCTCCTCTAACATATACACCTATTCAGTACACACTCACACTGTATCTGCTTTTCCCCAGGGCTCCTCTAACATATACACCTATTCAGTACACACTCACACTGTGTCTGCTTTTCCCCAGGGCTCCTCTAACATATACACCTATTCAGTACACACTCACACTGTGTCTGCTTTTCCCCAGGCACTAGGTTACTTTGTATGCTCTGGAACTCTGTCCTCTGGCACGACAAAGCTGTTGCCATGTTCAAATCAGAGAACCTGTGGATATCTGCATCGGGCTCTTCCAGGAGTGGGAACACTCCTTTATAGGAGGGAATGGGGTTTGTGAGGCTCCCTGGGCTCAAGGGCACAGGAGGGTCATGAGGCTCCAGAGGCCCCTTCTCTCCCTGATGGTATGCAATCCGTTAACAGTTGCCAGGGAAGCTGAGACTCTTCTCTGGTAATGTAGCTGCCAGGAAGTTGCCCATGATTTGGCGTGTTACTCTGTAACCATTGGCCCATCCAGCTCAGACTTGAAACATTTCCTGGACGGTGATTGCCCCAGCTGGGGTAAATAGAAAACAATACCCCAGGAAAAGTCTCACCGGGACAGGATGGGGCAAAGGTGACTTTGGGAGGAGCAGTTGCCTTGGCCCTCCTGTAGGTGGCATAAGATGGGCACCCGGAACTGTGCTGCCTGAGGGTAGGATGTCTGTGGGGACAGTCTCCATGTGGCTGTCCTTCCACATGCGGCCTGGAATGGTTTGTCTTCTTGGTGTGGCAGCACATGCATTACCTCTGCTCTGGGTGGTGAGACCTGCAACCAAGGCTGCTGAAGGAGGAGACATGTATGTGGGGATCCTAGGGTGGCCATCTTGTCTGTGTACAGAGAGCCATGCCTCCTTGATGAAAGAAATCTTTCCTGGCAGTATGGGGATGTTTTCAGTGTTGCTGATGGACTAAGAACATTTCACAGTGGCTGAAAGTAGCGTCAGTGGGGCGGAATCTCAGGGAGACTGTGAGGGCCACGAGTCACTAGACATGCGGCTAAGGCACCTGTGGAAGCCAGTGATCGAGAGAACGAGACACGAAGCACTAGCCTTGACTTGGTAGGAAAAGTGGAAGACAGGAAAGAACCAGACAACAAGGAGGGAGGAAATGAGGTAGAAGTGATAGAAGACACCCTTCAGGTCCAATCCTCAGCACAGAGGAAGGGAAAATTTAGACAGACAGACAGACAGACAGACAGAAGCCCCAGTCGTGGCCCAGCACAGGAACTGGTACTCAGGGACACTCAGCCTCCTAACTGCCTGAGTTGGGAAAGACTTTAAACACAATTGAAAGAGCATCACGGTTTGGCTCATGAGGCTGCAGGACGTGGTGGAGGTGGGAGGGGTCCGAGTGCCGTCAAAGTGGACAGACCACATAGCACCATCACCCCACGTTGAGACAAAGACTCCATCTTCTGAGACAATGTGAGAAAGTCAGTCCCTGAGCTTATACTTGTCATTAGGAACACTCGGTCATCACTGGCTGGGGTCAATATGAATACGAGGGGCTGGAAAACAGTGGAGAAAGAACAGAAATTACTGGGCAAACTGGGCATGCCAGGGCAGCATTTGTGCCCAGTTCACTGGCCTAGATAGGATTGAAATTAGTCCCCCCACCTGTAAATGTAACTGTCTTGTTAAATAAGAAACACAGAGCCAATGCAGAGATGAAAGCCCACCCCCAGTTTGATCTTGTTTTTTTTTGGTTTTTCGAGACAGGGTTTCTCTGTGTAGCTTTGCGCCTCTCCTGGAACTCACTTGGTAGCCCAGGCTGGCCTCGAACTCACAGAGATCCGCCTGGCTCTGCCTCCCAAGTGCTGGGACTAAAGGCATGTGCCACCACCCCTGGCTAATTAGTTACTTTTCTGTTGCTGTGAGAACGTCATGACCAAAGCAGCTTATATAAGAAAGAGTTTATTTGACTTTCAGTTCCAGAGGGTTAAGGGTCCGTCATGATGGTGAGTCATGAGGCATGCAGGAGCAGGGAGCTGAGCACTCACAGGACCTTATAGTTCTTTTCCTGGGTCTGTTTCACTCACGATGTTGGGTGATTCCATCTCAACCACCAGTTTGAAGCAGAAAGAGCCAATTGGAAGTAGGGCAGAGCCTTAAGTCCTCAAGCCCACCCCCAGTGACATACCTCCTCCAGCAAGGCCACACCTCCTCCAGAGAGGCCACACCTCCTCCAGAGAGGCCACACCTCCTAAACCTTCCCAAACAGTGTCATCAGCTGGGAACTCAGTGTTCAAATGCCTGAGACTGTGGAGAACATTCTCATTCAAGCCACCACAAGGACTGTGTTCACCAGAGAATTAAGAAACAGGTTAATCTGGCAAGGACTTCAGGGCTAGGCTGGGGTTTTCCTGGCTTTGCTGAGTCCCATGGTAGGTCATGAGCAGCTCTGGCAGACCTCAGTAACTTAGACTGGCTTTTAAATAGGGTTTATAAAGTGCTAAAAGAATCGAGGAGTGGGGAGCTGGAGAGATGACTCAGTGGTTAAGAGTACTGACTGCTCTGCCAGAGGACCCAGGTTCAATTCCCAGCACCCACATGGCAGCTCACAACTGTCTGTAACTCTAGTTCCAGGGTATCCAATACTTTCATACAGACATACATTCAGGCAAAGCACCACTGCAAATAAAATGAGAATAAATATATATATATATATTTTTATTATTATGTATACAGCATGTACAACTGCAGGCCAGAAGAGGGCACCAGATTTCATTACAGATGGTTGTGAGCCACCATGTGGGTGCTGGGAATTGAACTCCGGACCTCTGGAAGAGCAGTCAGTGCTCTTATGCTCTGAGCCATCTCTCCAGCCCCGAGAATAAATATTTTAAAAAAAGAATCAAGAGGGGACAATAAAAAGAAAAAGCTGCAAAGGGATCTGTCTGGGTCACTCAGGAACAATGTCACAACAATTGTGCCAAACCAGAGTTCCTAGAAAAAAAATGACAAGTCAAACTGAGTTCTTGTGAGTGCCTGGGAGCCTAAAGCATGAACACCATTCGCCTAACAGTGAATGGGGGACTAGACGGTAGAAAGAGTAGTACAGTGACGAAGATGAATTTTGTTCCAGGCCGTTCCCCTTACAGTGTACTGTGGACACGTCTCTCCTGGTGATGCAGGTGTCTGCGTATAATCCCAGCATTTGGGAGGTGGAGGCAGGAGCATCAGGAATTCAATGTCATCCTTGGCTATAGATGAGTTTGAGTGAGGCTAGCCTGGGTTATGTGAGACTCTGTCTTTTGGTTGTTGTTGATTTTTTTTTTTTTTTTTGAGACAGGGTCTCTCCATGTAACCCTGGATATCCTGGAATTTACTATATAGACCAGGCTGGCCTTGAACTCATGGAGATCTGCCTCTGCCTTCTGATAGCTGGAACTAAAGGCATGCACCATGCTTGGCCAGATTCTAACACATACACATACACACACACACACACACACACACACACACACACACACACACACACACAGTGGGAAAGTGGGGGGGGAGACAGGAATGGGATCCACTCTCACTCTAGGTTATGATACTCTCGAGAAGCCTGTGGGGTCTTCCCTGCCCACAGAATCTTAAAGTCTTGTTCTGGGTCTGTTTCACTCTCTCAGCTGGCTGATTCTACCTGGAGGCTAATTCCTGTTTTCTTCTATTATTATAGAATTGGGTGTGAAATGTATGAGGACAGTGCAAGAAAACCTCAGTCTGAATTCCACTTCTCAGGAGTGGTAATGTCCATTTTCAGCTGCCACAATACAGCCGAGGGTGTCACATAGTGAGTCACAGCCGTCCCTTCCTCCACCCCCCCCCCCCCCCCGCCCCTTTGAGACAGTCTCACTATGTAGATCAGGCTGGCCTGAAACTACCAGAAATCTGTTCAATTCTGTCTCAGCGTTGGCATTAAAGGCATGCGCCACTGTGTGAAGCTTTCTTCTTCTAAAGCCTGGTATGATACAGAAAATGGGCTTCATTAGATGCCTGTACCCTGATAGTAGACTTCCTAGCCTCCAGAATGGTGAGCTAAATGAACCTCTATTTTTTATAAATCACCAGACTCCAGTATTGCAAACAGAAGACAAGTAAAGACATTACCCCTTGGGGGAGGCAAGAGGAGAGGCCAGGGTTTTGTTAGGTTGTGCACATGAATTTTACATCGGATGCTGTTTTTAGTGTCTAGTGACTCGGGTGTCTGCTTATATTTAGTATGGGGCTTCTGGAAGCTGGTTGAAAGTTTGTAACATGATTTCAGGGCTGACCCATTGGTATTGGATAACCAATTGAGGGCCTTTTTACTTTTTAATGGAATCAAGAAAACAATTTTTATATTTAGGTCTGGGCAGAGAGATGGCTCAGTCATTAGGACCAATTGTTCTTGCAGAGGACTTGGGTTCAGTTTCCAGCACTTACCTGGTGGCTAACAACTGCCTGTAACTCCAGTTCCAAGATCTGATAGCCTTTTCTGGCCTCTACAGGTACCACACACATGGTACACAGATGTAATGCAGGCAAAAAACTCAAACCCATAAATAAGAAGTATTTTTTAAAAATATGTGTGTGTGTATGTATTGTAGGTAGAGTTTTTCTGTCCTGCCAGCTGGTTCCCAAATAACCACACAGACTTATTATTAATTATAAATGATCAGCTGATAGCTTAGACTTGTTACTAACTAAATTAACCCATGTTTTTATTTATGCTCTGCCATGTGGCAGTACCTTTTTTTCAGCACAGCATGTCCATCTCCTGCTTCCTCTGCGATTCCTGGTGGCTCTGCCTTCTTCATCCCTGCACTCTCTTTTTGTCTCACAAGCCCTGCCTGACCTCTCCCTGTCCAGCCATTGGCCATTCGGCCCTTTATCAGACCAATGAGAGCAGCAAACGTTTTCAGTGTACAAAAAGACTGTTCCACGGCAGTGTATGCATGGGCTTGACTGCGTGAGTGTGCAGCGACCAGTAGAGGGCACTAGACCCCTCAAAGCTGAAGTTTCAGGCATTTGGGGGACTTTTACGTGGGTGCTGGATCCCAACTCTGGCCCTCAGGATCACACAGCAAATGTTATTAACCACTGAGATACCTCTCGAGCCCTGAGACCCTATCTCAAACAAACAAACAAACAACACAAAAAAGAAAAGGTAGAATCAAGTGTGTTGATGTACATCTTTAATCCCAGCATTCAGGAGTCAGAGGCAGGTGGATCTCTGTGAGTTCCAGGCCAGCCTGGTCTACAGAGTGAGATCCTGTTTCAAAAAAAAAAAAAAGTAGAACACCAGGGAGCAACAGCTGGTGTTGCCCTCTGTCCTCCACACACGTGTGTACCCGCACACACATATATCCACAAGCATATGAACATATACACACTCACACTTGCCCCTCAGAGTAGAAGGGCACAGAGGGAAAACCAAGATGGCAGCAAGTGAGGCTGAAGGTGGTTCTTAGCCATGGGACAAAAAAATGAAAAAGAAACTCCGTGTTGGCAGCCTGAGCCAGTGAGGCCTTTGCTGGAGGGTGACCTTGACAGCAGTTTCAGGGAGCCCTTGGGGTCTTCTCGGGTTATTCACATCGCTCCCAAGATCCTTGATTGAAGGGGCCCATTTCTTTGTCTTTGGAGATGAAAATCAGGAGCTGTGGGTGCACACCTTTAATCCCAGCCCCCAGGAGGTAGAGGCAGGTGGATCTGAGTTCCAGTTTAACCTGGTCTACGGAGAGAGTTCCAGGACAGCCAGGGTTACACAGAGAAACCCTGTTTTAAAAAAGGAAAGACAATCTGTTCACTCCTCCCCAGCCCCCACGTCACACTAGCTCAAGATTTTGCTTCCTGTTCTAGTAAATAACTTACCATGTGTCAATCAGCTCCCTGGCTTGAAAGGATTACTCCTGGGTCAATGCATGTCCTTCAATGAAGGAATTAAGATTAATGAGCTGCACGGAGGCCCCTGAGGACCAGGATGAGGAGGTCAGGGTCTCTGCTGGTAGGGAAGGGAAAAATGAAGATGTTAGTCAGTTTCTGGGTGTGATAGTGAAACATTTACACATTCCAGTGTTGATGAAGACATCTACAAATATAGACAAAATGTGGTAATTTGTGCCGTTTCCCGACGAGAGCCTCAGCTGGTGTTGGTGATGTCATATGATCACACTAGTCACGTGGGTGAAAAACGTAGGTAATGCCAGGACTATACTCTATGTATGAACAACAGATGTGAATTTTAAGGAAAGGGAAACTATTATCTCAGGCAACAGCAACATGGAACCTGCTGCCTGTCATGGTTCCAATATAAAATGTCCCTCGAGGCCCTCGAAGGGTTGTGTGATGGGCACATGATCCCGAGCCATTGGCTATTGAGTAGCATTTGGACCGTCACACTGCTGAACTCACCAACGAAATCACCCATCAGCGAATTCACAGCTGAGTGGGTTGTCGGGAGGTGGTCTAGGTGGAGGAAGTAGATCACCGGCTGGTGCCCTGGAGGAGTAGGTTCTGTTTGGGCTCCTTTGCTCTCTGTTACCTGACTGCTGTGACGTGAGCAGCTTACTTCCGCCACGACCTTTCTGTCTCTCCATAGTTCTAAAAGCAATTGTGCCAGCTGGCTGTGGACCGAAGCTTTCCTCCTGTAACTGTGCGCCCTCCCCACCCGAGTGTGTTCTCACAGAGACAAGAAGTAACAGACGACACAGCAGATCTGAGACAGCTTAGCTGGATGCTCATTTATTGGAAGGCTGAAGCTGGCAGGACAATGCACATGGTTACTTAAGGTCCGGCCTTCATCACAGATTAGCTAGACGCTCCAGCTGCCCTTCCTGCAGGCCCCATCATGACGAAGGGGACCGCGATGTTCACAGGATGCTGGTCCTGGATCCAGAGACCTGAGGTCATACTTGCAGGAACAGATTGTTCCCTCAGCTCAGTCTTTGGAGTAGAAACCACGAGAGAAAACCAGGTCTAGGAATATTGGCAAGGGCAATACAAACATTTCAAGACAGCACTGTAGAACATAAAGACATTTCCAGGTTATATTTAGGTATAGAAACGTCTAGAAGTGTTGCTTTTTTCTTTTTAACGACGGCAGAAGTAAGATAGACAATTATGTTGGCAGCCAGTGAGTGGCATATCCTTGTAATCCTAACATTTGAGACATGGAGGCAGGAGGATCATAAATGTTCACAGTCTCCTTCACTGTATGGTGAGTTTGAAGCCAGCCTGGGCTACACGAGATTGGAGAGAGAGAGGGGGGTAGTGGAGGGAGAGAGAGAGAGAGGAAAGAAGCTGTTGGCCTTTCACGGTGTGAAGGAACAAAGGAGGAAGTGAGAGCAGGAGTGGACGGACGGCCTCTGACGAGAGCAGGAGTGGACGGCCTCTGACGAGAGCAGGAGTGGACGGACGGCCTCTGACTAGAGCAGGAGTGGACGGCCTCTGACTAGAGCAGGAGTGGACGGCCTCTGACGAGAGCAGGAGTGGACGGCCTCTGACTCCAGTGTGTCGGGCTCAGCAGCAGGTAACTGGTGCAGGAGCATGAGCTCTTGCCGGCTGTACTAAGTCCTCCTCCTCATCATCATAAAATACGTCTCCCAGGACTGGAGGGGCGGCTCAGTCATTAAGAGCATTTGCTGCTCTTGCAGAAGACCAGAGTTCAGATACCAGCATCCACACTGGGTGTCTCAAAACTGCCTGGAATTCCAGTCTAGGGGATCCAACACCCTCTTCTGGACTCTGAACAACCCCCACACACAAATAAAATAAAATTTGAAGGCTATGTGTTGGTGGAGCACACCTTTAATCCCAGGCAGAAGCAGACAGATCTGAGTTCGAGGCCAGCCTGGTCTACAGAGCGAGTTCCAGGACAGCCAAGGCTACACAGAGAAACCCTGTCTCAAAAAACCAAACGAAAACCAGAATAAAAATAAAAATAAAATAAAATAAAATAAAATGCTTCACTGTTATTTAAAACATTATGTTTTTGTGTTAGAGTATGTGTTTATGTGTGGACCCACATGCCCCACAGCGTGTGTGTGTGTGTGTGTGTGTGTGTGTGTGTGTGTGTGTGTGTGTGTATGTGTGTGTGTATGTGTGTGTGTATGTAGATCACAGGACAACTTTTGGGAGTTGGTTCTCTCCTTCCACCATGTGGGTCCTAGGGATCAAACTGAGCCATCTTGCTAGCCCACCAAGCTAATTTTTATTTCTATAGATATACCTATTTTGGATAGTCTATATGTGAAATATCTCCTAAGACATATGAGCTAATTTTTAGTTACTGTAGTTTGACAGATAACATTTCAAGTCAGTAAAAAATGACATTTAGATCTGGGCATAGTAGCATAATGCTGGCTTTGGGAATCTGAGACAGAAGGACAGAGCAAGGGTAGCTTGGACAACATAACATGAGCTATATAGAGAGAGGGGATGGGATTTAAAATATAGTACTGGCCTCTGGAAATCTCTTATTAGGTTCAAGTGATTTATTCCTACTACCGCTTAGTTAAAGTAATTTTCTTCTAGAGACCAGGTCTTACTGTGTAGCCTTGGCAGGCTTGGCATTTGCTGTGTAGGCTGGTCTGGTCTTGAACTTACAAAGAACTGACTGCCTCTGCCTCCAAGTGCTGGGAGTAAAGGCACTTCCATACCTGGCAAGCTGATTTCTAGAGACCTCAGGGACATTACGACCAGCCTTACAGAAGTCGAAGGGATTATAATGGAACACAATGATCACTAATACATCAATAAATCTGATAAAAGAAAATCTGAATAGATCTATCATGAGCAAAGAGACTAAACTGATAATGACAAAATTATCACACACACACTCCAGGTCTAGACTGCCCCATTGGTGAATCTGAGCAAATATTTAGAGAAGAATCATATCAGTTATTAATAAACTCTTTCAAAGAAAAAGAAGCTGTAACACTTCTAATCCATTCTGTGAGGCAAGAAAACTCCGATCTCAAAATCAGAGGAAGAAAACAGTTTGCCAATGTCTTATAAATAGAGTCAGAGGCTCTCAGAACAAAATCCAGTAACATAAAAAGAACAGCACACCATGACCAGTGAGGCTTTCCCAGGAATGCAAAGTTGGCTTAACATTTAAAAGTAAAATAATGCAAGCCTGGTGGTGGTGGCGCATGCCTTTAATCCCAGCACTCGGGAGGCAGAGCCAGGTGGATCTCTGTGAGTTCAAGGCCAGCCTGGTCTACAGAGCGAGATTTAGGACAGGCACCAAAACTACACAGAGAAACCCTGTCTCAAAAAAAAAAAAAAAGTAAAATAATGCACTATGTTATTAGAGTAAAGGAGGGAAATGTACATAAGATCTTAACAGAGGGTTTGGTGAGATGGCTCAGTGAGTAATGGCACTTGCCATGCCGGCCTGACCTGAGTTTAACCCCAGATCCCACTCATGGTGGAAGGAGCGGGCTGATTCCCAACAGCTGTCCTCTGACAGTGTGCGTGCGTGCATGTGTGCACCTGCACTCACACGCACATCATATATATAACATCAATAAATATAAGATATGGGCTGGAGAGATGGCTCAGAGGTTAAGAGCACTGACTGCTCTTCCAGAGGTCCTGAGTTCAATTCCCAGCACCCACATGGTGGCTCACAACCATCTGTAATGAGATCTGGTGCCCTCTTCTGGCCTGCAGGCATACATGCAGACAGAACATTGTATACATAATAAATAAATATTAAAAAGTAGTTTTAAATTCTTGATGGATGCAAAAAAGCCTTTAAAAATGTCACATCCTTTTATAGTGAAAATCATGAAAGCCGGTGAGGTGGCTCACTTGCTGCCCAAGTCTGGAGTTTAATTCCTAGAACCCAGGTAAGGGTAAAGGGAGAGAACAGATTTCACAAATTGCCTTCCCACCTTCATGAGTGCCATGGCATGCATGCACCTTCAGTAATGTGTAAAAACAGTCTGGGCATGATGTCACTCAAGAGGCAGAGACAAGTGGATCTCTGTGAGTTCCCAGCCAGCCAGGACTACATAGTGAGACCTTGTTGCCAAAAACAAAACAACACAACACTCAATAAGCTAGGAACTCCCTGCCTGATATATTCAACCTTAAAGTTGAAAACTGCCGACCAGTGTCTTTTCTACTGCTGTGATAAGACATGACGATCAAGGCAACTTATAGAAGAAAGAGTTTATTTGGGGCTTATAGCTTCAGAGGGTGAATTTATGACCATCATGGCAGGGAGCATGGCCACAGGCAGGCAGGTGTGACCTTGGAGCAGTAGCTGAGAACTCATATTTCAAGACAATCATGAGGCAGAGAGAGACTCAGAATGAAGTGAATTTTTTGTAATCTCAAAGCTCACCCCTCCTTCCTGCCCTCACAGCCCCACCCCCACCCCGTGACATACCTCCTTCAATAAGGCCACACCTCTCAATCCTTCCTAAACAATTCCATTAACTGAGGACCAAATATTCAAACATATGAGCCTATGGTAGGTATTCTCATTCAAACCACCAGTCAGGGACCAGAAAAAAATGATCTTACTCTGTACTGTCCTAGAAATTCTATTTAGGGGTGCCAGGGCAGTGTGCCACACACGCACACTGACTCTCCTCAGCCTCTTGCTTGCAACTTACGCACGCACTAGTCCCTGGTCACTGGCTAGGGCAGTGTGCACAAGCCTGGTGGATTCAGGCAGTGCAGGTGGGTGCATTCCTTCCTAGGCTCTGGGATAGTGGGCCAGAAGACTGGCATCTTCTCCTTCGCAAGCTCTAGCAGGAAGCAAAGTGCCTGTAACCCTAAGGCAGATGACCTGCAGCTGAAAAAGTGAGGCAGTGGTCAGCCCCGCCAGACAGGGTGACTATGCCTCCCTTCTTACTTATAATTGTAAGCTGCTGGTCCGATGCAAAGGGACAGGGTGATTGATGGGCTGCCTTAGATGCATGGCCCATAGCTTGTGGCCTTAGCAAGAGCTTGAAGAAGCACCTTCAGGGAGAACATAGTGGACAA